AAAAATTTTATGTATTTATTTGCCATTTGTATTTCTTCATCTGAGAAGTGTGTATTCATCTCAGATGCCCATTTTTGGGTTGGGTCCTAGAATTTCAGAAGTCTGAATTTTTTAATTCTTTATATGTTCTAGATAGAAGTCATTTTTATGAGGGACAGTTGACTTAAGATTTTTTTCCCAATTTGTGGGTTTTGTTTTCACTCTGTTCGAGATTTCTTTTGACATACAAAAATTTTTTAAGATCCCAGACAAGATCCCAGTTACTGATTCTGGGTAGTATTTCTCGTGCAGTTTGATTTTTGTTCATGAATTCTTGCTATATCTTCAAGATTTCTACCTATTTTGTCTTCCAGCAGATTTAGTGTTTTGTTTTAATATTTAGATCTTTGTTGCATTTTGACTTTAATGCACAGTGATAGCCATGGGTCTAGTTTGTTTTTGGCATGTACAGAGCCAGTTTTTCTAGCACCACTTATTGAAGAGGTTATCTTTGCCCAGTGAATGTGTTTGACCCCTTTATCAAAGATAAGGTGGCTGAATGTGTTTGTAGTTGTAGTTGTATCTTCTAATCTATTCTATTGATCTTCAGATCTGTTTTTATTGCAGTACCATGCTGATTTTATTATAGTAGCTTTGTAGTATAACTTGAAGTCAGGGATTGTGATGCTTCCTGTCTTGCCTTTGTTGCCCGGGATTGACTTTGCTATTCTAGGTCTCTTCTTGTTCCAGATGAATTTTAGGAATGACTTCTCTAGATCTGTGAGATATGCTAATGGTATTTTGATTGGAATCGCATTAAATCTGTGTAACAATTTTGGGAGAATGACCATTTTCACAATGTTTGCTCTTCCTATCCATGAACAAGGAATGTCTTTCCATTTTCTCAGGCCCACTTCTATTTTCTTTTTTCAGAGTACTGTAATTTTCACTGAATAGACTTTTTACTTCCTTTGTTAAATTAATTCCTAAATATTTCACTTTTTGGCTGCTGTTGTAAAGGGCGTGGTTTCTCTTATTTCTCTCTCAGTGAGTTTGCTCTTTGGATACAGGAATGCTGTTGATTTTTGAGTGTTGACTTTATATTGAGATAAATTAACTGCACCAAATACCACAATGAATATAAACATTAAATTTTGTTAGCATGAACTTAAAATAATTATATTAGCAATAATGATGAAAATGAGGAAAGGGGAGGAGAAGGAGAGAGGCTGGGTGGATAGGAAGAAAAGTGGGAATAAAAAAGAATGAAGATGTGTTATGTGTGTGTACCTACTCCCTAAGAAGAATGTAAACATCATGTATCACAATCATGTACTAATAAAATTTTTTAAAAGAAAGAATAAAGATGTCACACTAATTATTTGACATCTAAGGTAAACAAGAACAAACTGAAGTCAAAGCTGGCAGAAGAAAGAAGTGTTTTTTTAAGTAGAAGAAAATGAAAGAAATAGAATATACAGACTAATGACAATTTCATTCCTCCCTTTTCCAAGTTTCCTGTGTTCTATTTCTTTTTCTTCCCTCGTTACTTTGTCTAGAAAATTTTTCTTACAAACAGAAGCAATCATTATTTGCAACAATACTATGCAAAAGTGCAGTTTCCAGGTTGTCTCCTAAAGCCAAAGCTGTTACCACCTTTTCTATTTCAATGGTCAGAATACAGACACGGAATTTTGCCACCTACAGCCATGAAAATGAGGACACCATCCTTCGGGAGTAAAGTGTGGCATCCTGGGAAATGAAGGAGCAAGAACGTGGAAGGAATCAAGGTCTGTGAGAGAACTTAAATTGCTGAGCCATCTTGCCAGTCCTAGACTACACTAGTTCCCTGGTTTTTGTTTGTTTTTTCCTTACAGTAGCTTAATTTGTACCCTAATAGGGACAAGAGTTAATTTTTCTGTTTTTGCAAATAAGAAATCTAGTCTGAATTTTGTTTCTCAAATAATCTAAATCTTACTTGTTTAGCCATTGTTTTAGAACACAACATTTATTTTACCCTGAATTACACATAACAAAACCTGTTCTTGAGCTACTTTTCTTTCCACTGCTTTCTCTTCCTGCACCTTACACTGCTAGTAACACATTTTCATTATTCACTTTGCAGGACAGTCTTAAGGCTAAGAGGATCAAAAACTTTCAAACAATCATTTTAAATTTTCTTTCCCATTCAAAAGAACTTATTCTTCCACGTCAATGTACATGTGAGTTTAAATTTTTCGAAATTCAACCACCACCTTAGCCAAATCTAAGCAGACAAATAAAGAAAAATGAGTGCTAAGAACAGTATATTTAAAGAAAAAATGAGGGCCGGGGATTTAGCTCAGTGGTGTAAGCGCCTGCGGTGGCAAAGGCAAGGTCCTGAGTTTGATCTCCGGTACTGCAAAAAATAATAATAATAATAGTAATAAAGAAAAAATGGAAGAGGTAGATACAGACTCCTTTACCTATAGAAACTCCTGGCCTATGAACATATTATATTTCACTTTAGGACTTTCTTTGTATCTCTGGAAGTTTTTAATTACTAAAGTTCTGCCACCTCTAAAGTTTACTTCTAAGAAAGGCATGATTTTGTTGATATTGTAAATAGAAAATGTAAGAAAACCACACAATGAAATTCAATATTCTATATAATGAATATAGAGTAGTGAAAACAATGATAAGTAAACAGTACTTCCCCTAAATGATTATAGTAGCCAATAGTAAACTATGGTTTATCATCATTTGCCAACTGTGTCTTTGGGTGATTACTAAACATCTCTTACTCAGATTATTTTTACAAAATTAGAGAACTATGCTGTTGTAGTCAGGGTTTTCAAGGGAAATAATTTAATATAAGGCACATAATTTATAGTATTATTTTATAGTATTCACACAAAGAGTCAAACAAAAAAGAGTGCTGGAAATCTGTCCACACATTAGAGACCCAAAGAATCTATCTGAGGGCCAGTATCTTATAGCAATGCCCTGAATGAATCCAGCTGAAGACCTACAGCCCAGGGCAATATACTCCACGAATCCAACTGGAGGCCTTGAGCCCATGACGATGTTTCATGTAAGGATCTGCACTGGGACAGCCCAAAAGTCAGTGATAGAAGCTAGAAAATCTGCACTAGTTGGACAAAGGATATGTCTTAGCAGGCTGAGGGATCTGTACTAGAGTTAGGAAGTGACAATCAAGATAAAGACTAGAGCTCCCCCAGGAGAGAACTACAGCCATCCTCAGCAACAGCAAGGACCAGAGCTCCTCCTCCAACGAGACCAGCTGAGTTCATATCAGGAAAGCCAGTGGGACAAGCTTCTCCAGTAGAATCAACAGCATGCCCTCTTCCCTTCCAGTTTTCTTTTTATGCTGTTGGAAACAATTCTCAGCCATACCCAGAATCATGCTGATTTGGTTCAGCTGGGTGTTACAAGTTGACCCCTGGTTAATCCACCACATATGTATAATCTGCAGGTAGATTTATGAAAATAAATATGGACATTTACTAAGCTTAGGGCCTGTACAGAATGAATGATAAGATACAACAACCATTTTTACTTCCAATGTTGTACTCTCCGTATGTCAGACCAAAAATCTGGACATTGCTCTTCAAGTACTACAAGATGCCCTGATATCCAAGCCTACCATGTGGAGAGATGGGAGCCATGGACTGTGTGCTCCTAGCAAGGGAAGGGGAAGCTGTGCTCCCTGTTCTCTCACCCCAAGTTTTTTTCCCATCCCCCACTTCCACTCATAACAAGAGCCCAGCACAGAAAGAGCAGCTGATTCCAATTCCAGAATGACAAGCCAGACCAGATGTTCTGAATAATTAAACACAACCTCTTCAACAAAAATAGACAACTGACACTCCAAAAGGAACAGAGGTTGACATGAAGTCACCTAAAAAGTAAGGAGGCAAAGGTGGGGAGAGCTGTCATGTCAGCTAACATCTGAGCTCATGTTCTTTCCACCCCATCCAAACTGTTCTTCCCAAAGTTTTCCCTTGTCTGGGAGCTTCTCGGTACAAGGGAAGTGGGATAGACGGATCAACCACAGAGCCCCAAGATGTTTCATGTTTGTCCAGTATCTCCTCCTCCCTCTTATCTACAGTGCTTGAGCCAGCCTGCCCTGTGGCTTATAGTTCTCTATGGAGAACATTGTTCATACAATTTATTCATCCTAGGTCTCAAGAACTTAGTGTGTCTTGTCTCCTCATTCACATCTTTCAGCAGAAGAAGCCTGGGGGAGACACTGCTTAACCTTAAAGAATTAAGTACTAAAAAATTAAAAAAAATTTTAAAAAGTTATAGTCAACTATTTCAAAGAGACGTTGTGGTAGTTACTGTTAATTATGGGTTGTCTTCCAGTGAAATTCTGTGTTGCTTACATTGTACTGTTCTGATCTGCTTTGTTATGTCCTGTTTTGTCTTAATCTCTAAAAAATAAAAATAAGTAAATAAATAAAAAGAATTAAGTACTAGTGGATGAATCTCAGACCTGAAACACTGAAATTCCTACACGGATTTCCCAGCACCTTTAGTGTTATTCCCTCACTGACTTTTTGCAAAGGATACAGATCCCCGGGAACATTAAAGAAGAGAGAGAGTTGCCGGTTTAACTCTAAGTTTGGTTAGTCATACTTCAGGGCTGACAGTAGCCAGGTCAAGACTGACAGTGGATTGGAAAGGAAAAGACATCCTTTCAGTTTATGCAACATGTTCTGAGAGCATTTTTGTTGTTGTTGTTTTCTGGGTGTATGTGTTTCCTGGTTCCAGGACAAAGGCAAGCTTTGCTGATTTGTATTTCCAGCTGAATAAGAGACTCGAGAACTTGAGCTGATTCTTAGATTTCAAACACTAAGCCCTAAGATCGGGAATTTTTTCCCCCTGATTCTCTTCTCCTTCACAACTCAGGAACTCATCTCCTGGGTTCTTTTCCTCTCCACTGGGGAGATCAAGCCCCACATTCACATCCTTCTTCCTGAAGCTTCTGGAAACTCAGAAATAATAGGAGGCAGAACCAAAGGGCACAGAGGGTTTTTATTGTTGTTGTTGTTGTTGTTATTGAAAACTGAAATACAAAAGCAGCCCCAGAGCTGGCATCCAGAGAGGGAGAACGAATTGGGAATGTGGGGGAGGGAAGTGATACAGAACCAGAGGGAAGCCTGAAGGCCTGGACCTGGGATAGGTTCGGAGAGATTAGGTTCCACCTGGTGGGAGAGAAGGAAATCAGAGATGTAAGTTCACCAAGTCAAATCACTCAGACCTAGTGTGGAGGACAAACACACCCGCTGCACCTTCCTACGGCCTCTGAGACCAGAGTTTGTCCCACACTCCCTCTTCCCATGTCTTCCTTCCCACTACTCAGATGTTTCCCAGCCGCTCAACTCTCTCCTGTACTGGCAGGATCCTCTTTTTCTTCCAGCTAGTGCTTACCTCATTCAGGTTGATAACATTGCTTCCCGCAGTAGCCTGGGCAGCACTTCTGAGGCTTTGGGCAGTCATAATCACTCGTGCACTTGTTGGGAGGATGCCTTGCTGGGCAGTATATCATAACCCGGGGACAGGAACCAGGCCTATTGATGGCCTGCCCTTCACCATACAAACAAAGATTATTTAGTGTTTCTCTCCCCCAGTCCCCTCTCCAGTTGCTTCATTCTTCCTCCTCCCCACATATAACCCCTTTCCTGGGCATTATGCTAATTTGATGAAGTCCTACTTTATAATTGTATCATTTCTGTTCACATTTTTGAACTATTCAGTTTGGGACATTTTAAACTTTTGTGAGACCTAAAGTGTCATTTTCATTTACCTTTGCTCATTTTAAATTATACTTTTTAGATCTATTTTGAAGCCTTCTTTCATAGTTTCATGCATATTGACTGATATGCATTGTTTTATTATATGAAAATACTGAAATATATATATCAGCTTTACAGTCAATACATATTTTTCTAATTTTACGCTTTTTTGGTATTACTGGGATCGAGTTTAATCCCCAGAATACTTTATTAATTTTATTTTGAAACAGGGTTTCACTAGGTCACTAAGTTGCTCAGGCTGAGCTCCAACTTGTGATCCTCCTGCCTCAGCCTCCCAGAGTGCTGGGATTACAGTGGCATATATTTCTGAAGAATATGAAAATCTCTATTTGAATATATACATATAAATTAAATTCCTAGATCATGGAATACAGGTCAAAGGACATGGATGCAATCAACTGTGATAAATATGATGAATAACTTTCAAATGTCAGTGTACAGGTTTACAACTTACGCTACCAACAGCAATGTGTGAGATTTCAGTTGCTCCTTAACCTTACCAACACTTGGTCTGCCTTTCTGTAATTTTTGGTGGACATCTAGTGGAATTTCTTTGTGATGTGAATTTACACTTCCATAGTAACTGGTGAACTTAAGCAATTTTTGACATATTTATTGTCTACCTGGGCCTCTTCCCTGGGGGAAGTATGTATTCAAGTATCTTTTCTATTTTTAAATAACATTACCTGGGATTTTTTATTGACTCATAACAGAAAAGAAATTCTTATTCAAAACTAACAGCCTGTGCTGTTGCAATGGACCTGAAGTAGCTACTGAAATTGTACACAAATTATGGTCCTGCAGTTGCACCCCCAAATGTGAAATTAAGAAAAATATTCCCACACCTTCACCAAGAAACATGTCCAAAAATGTCCATGAGTACACTGTTTTTATTATGCAAATACTGGAAGAAACCATACCTATTACTACTAATAGGATAATGGATAAGTATGCCATGGCATATTACTATAATAAAATACAACTATGAAAATAACACACATGTAATGATATACAACATAACTGAATTAAAATAATGTGAACGAAAAAGACAAGCCCCAAAATAGGATATGAGGAGTTATGTTTGTGAACAACTGAAAACCAAGGGAAATAAGAGAAGACAGACAGACAGACAGACAGACAGATAGATAGATAGATAGACAAAATTGAGGAAACTATAAAGAAGAAATTCAAACAATGATTATCTCTGGAAATGAGAGAAAAGAACACTCTAGATGAGTGAGAAACACAATGACTGGTGTAAGCCATTGGTTATTGGTAGTGTTCTAAACATTGGGTCATTGGTGTGTGTTTTAAAGCTGCTGAGTCAATCATTTACGGAATACCTACATTTTTAATAACCCAATATTGCTTCACTCATAGGTTGTTTTCAATCTTTAGCTATTATATACTACACCATATGTGGCCTTTCTTGGCATGCTTTCTTGGAGGCTACATGTTTGGAAATAGATTTGCTCCTGCAACTGTTAAATGCATACTTAGATAATATTGTCCTATTTCCTCTGATAAAATGGGTACTGTTTTGTCATCACCTTTAATGGATGAAACTTCCTTTTCTATCTACCTCCAGCATATGTATCTAATCTTAAAATTATATGTATTTTATAAGTGACAAAGACCACACACAATTTCTAATAGACATTTCACTATCTTGAATTATGTAAATCTTCACATATTTTGAAGGACACACATCTCTTTTTCTGAAGACTGTTTATTTCCTTTGCTCATTTTCATTGATTCATTACTATTTTTTCTCCATTTGGAGTTTTCAGGTAGGGGTGTAGCCCAGTGGTAGAGCCCAGGCTTCACATGCTCAAAGCTCTGGGTTCAATAATTAGTATTTGCAAAGGACATTTTTTTAAAATACAATTATGCAGTATAAAGAAAAAATTAAATTAACTCTTTGAAATTCATGGGTTTCATTCCATAAAATTCACCTCTACACAAAATATGATTCTCTGACGTTACTTTGTCTTCTTAAACTTCCCTTCATCTGTTATTCCTATTTTTGATTGTTGTCATATATCAGTGGATTCGTTTGGGTAAAAAAAAAATGCTTTAGTATCCACCTGTCTGTCTTTCCTTTTGTCCATGATTGAATGGACTTTCTTCTCTATGTTGGTTATCAGGCCGACACTCCATCTGTACTGTTGCCATGCCCTTGGTCTTGATTAGAATTCTCTGTCTAATTCTGATCCTGGTCTGGTACTAGCTGTTCGGTATGAATAGGAAACTGCCTTAGGGTCCAATTTCTGACCTTTCAGTGTTGTCCACGACACAGAGGCAGTGCTCCTTACTTCAACAAACCTTGGCATTATACATGCATTTTGGACTTGAGTTGATCTGAACAGCATTTTGGATACGGTTTCAGTCTTTATCACCCATTGCCTGTTCTACTGGGGAAGGAAAGTGCCTTGAGATCTAGCCTGTACCTTACCTTGTCAATAATACATTTGCAGCAGGAGATTAGGGCATGACAGGGTACTGGGGAAGTAGGTGCAACCACTAATTACAAAACCCCAGGACGACTTCCAAAGCCCTGAGTATGGACTTCTCATGAGCAGTAATGGATAACAGCACCTTGACCCAACATCAGCCTGACAAGTGGGTGACACAAAAGAAGTCAGCCACCATTGAATTCTCTACTGTTATGAAACTTCTTGTGCTGTAGAGTGTGCCTTTGGCCCAAACTCACTCTGCAGTGTATATATCCTTTCCTACCTTTAATAAATATAAAGCCTTGCTGTTTGTGCTTGTCTTGACCAATTCTTTGTTCAGGACAGAAAGAACCTAGGATTAACTCTAGGAGGAGACTCCATCACCATCCTGGCCTTTGTTCTTTACTTAAATACTTGCCTCGCATTCCACTTACACACTGACTAGGTCCTTGATCTTGATCAGCATTTTGTACCCAATTATGATCAGTGTCATCCATATGTTGTAGAGTAATAATACAAAAGTTGTCTTCTGATGTCTGCCTTGATGCCTTCAAATGAAACATCCTTGTTTTCTACCTAAATGTTGGTTTTGAGAAGCAGGGAACTGGCATGACTTTGAAGTAGTGGTCTGAGAGAAAATGAGCAGGCAGCCACTACTCTTGGGGATAACAGGAGGGAAATATTTTAAATCAGACATTTAAGTGAGCAACTCGTGTATCCCTTGAGATGAGGATATCCCAGGATATGTGGCAAACTGGATGAGTCCAGTAAAAGCAAAATGACTATGGATCTGGGTCACAGTTGGCCCTAAACTTCATTGCACTGCATTTCACCATACTGCATTTCTGTAATAATATCTTCACCCAGAGGTGGTATATAACACATTTCTAAGAACTATTTGAGCTATGAGTAACTAAAGCTCCATCCTATATGGAGGACTTTGCTACTTCTTGAAAAATACTATGAATAAATAATGACCTTCCCCATAAAAGGGAAATGTATCTTTTGTTAGGGGCTTCTCAGTCTGTGGACAGTGAGATTCAGTCTTTTTTCCCTGGGCTGTTTCCAGGTCAGTCAATTGCCCTTTATTTCCAACAATAAATGTTCCTTTAATTTTCATTTTAGTATTAGTCTATTTGTAATTTTCACCTTCTGTCAGGTTTAATAGTCAAGCTGATGACTGTCTGATAGTGTCATTATGTGTGCATGCCAATAATACTGATTTATCTTTGTTTCTAATCATGATAATTGTCAACTATTTATAATTCATTTTAGATCTAAATCTGCTTTGAAATCTAGCTTCTTGTTTGGTCTTTTGTCCAAATAGTCTTGGCCTTGTTGTTTCTTTGCAAATGATACACTTGATAGCTGAGCTTGCTACCTCTCTGATAATTGATAATAAAAATGTTTGGCATCCATATTTCCAAAATTTCCTTCTGGCTCTTATACATCACCTTTTCCTCATGAATTTCCTGAGTTTCCACATGGAGTCTAGCTTTGGGGGAGCAAGCAACTCTGCCTGAAGAGCTCTTTGCTAGCACCAGATGCCCTTTCATGGTTCCCTCCCTACCCTTGCTTGTCTTTCCCCAGCTATCCCTCTCCACTCACCATGCAGCCTTCTCCCAAAGGATGGTTTCTCCAGAATGAGGAACAGAAAAAGGATGAAGAGGATGGTGGCCTTCATTTTGCCAAGAAAGACCTTGGATGAGAGCTGAGTGAGCTTCTCACTTATACTTTATTTAATAGGGTGTGTCATGGGTGTGGCTGAAGTTATAAAAGGCACAGCCCTTATTATCTGTGAATGCAAATTTATTTATCCTTACTCAGTAGATGGCACTGTCCATGTCCCAGGGACTTTGTATAGGGACACAGTGTCAGGGATTTCCCCCTCCCCCTCCCCACTAAGCTCCCAAAAATTTTTATTGACATTTAGTTTCCTGTATTTCCAGAAGAAATGCAATCCATAATAGAAAAGAAACTCTGCCTGAAGAGCTCTTTGCTAGCACCTTAATAATAAATAATAGCATCATAAAAGAAGCCCCACCTTTTAAGACTATGCTAGCTTGATAACCCACTGATTACCTGTATATGAGTTTTCTTCTCTACTATGGATTGCATTTCTTCTGGAAATACAGGAAACTAAAGATGAATTTATTAATATATTGAGAGAGGATGCAAAGTAAATATTTTTATTTGAGACAGAAGGACACTCTGAATGGTCCAAAGGACAGTCCTTTAGTTTGACCCACGCAAACTGCGAATGGGTTGACTACAGAAGAGGTGATCATCCCACAGTGAGCCTCTATTCAGACCAGCATGGATAGGGTTCTTAAGTGATGAAGGCTCAAACATTTAAACTCTCAAAAAATCTTTTCAAAGACTCAAAAAGTTTAAATCTTTCTATCATAAAATTCAAAACTGCTATAGAAGGGGTAAAGGAAAACACAGCTATGTTTTTATGAAAGGAACATAGATACAAATGCTAAGTCACTAAATGCAGGAATTGAAAGCTACAAGAGCCAGTCCAACTGCTGATCAAGGTTATCGCTTTGTCCCAGGCAGTAATTATTTCCTTACAGCAGAGATCATGGAGAGTTTGCTAAAATTAGCCTGAGTGAAAATTATTCTCAATGTCTGATAATCTCACCACTCCTCCCCACATTTCTCTCCAAGAAAATACAGAAACTGCTCTGTTTCAAGTGTACTCCTAGGAGAAAGGATATGATAAAATTAATTTTATTTATAGATCAAAGAACCAAACCTTTGTCCAATCCAGCATGCCAAAGGTAGATTTTTAAAAAGACTCCAGATATCTAAAAATAAACCAGGAAAAGACAAACTAAAAATGCCATGAGATTATAATGTTGATATCAACAGAAATTCATAAAACTTAAAGACATTTTTAAACCTAAGAAATGAACATATTGATAAAGATGAAAGCAAAAATCAGTGACTGGAAATAGCAATAAGCACTCAAATTCTAGATATGGTATCTTTCTAAAGTTCATGTTTTTACTTCAGAACAGTAAGTTTTGTTTTAGAGAATTGGTGCTTGCATATAACGTAGCCTGATCATTTTCAACCCCATTGCCCCTTTCCCCCTACAATCCCCTTGCTCTTCTCCAAAATTTGCCTCCCAGTTCCTGTCATTTTATAGCTAGTGTGGAAAAATGAAATTTTAGAAGTTAGAACTTTTTCCTTTAGAGACAAGTAGTTTCCCCAAGCTTTCTCACACTGCAGGCATAGCCACTACTGGCTCCTCTCAGCCTAGATAAGCAGAAAGAATATGCAGAGAAAATCATGATTTAGGAGCGATGAAGCAAACCTGGAGTCGTCTGTTGTCTTATTGGATTCTCTCTTCCCTTTGTTCCTTACTATAAAGAAAGAAGCCCTAACACACCTGGGAAGAGTGCGGTGGTGATTTGAGGCAAAAGAGACTGTTAATAATTTTGTATAATTTCTGTTTCCTTTTCACCAAAATAAATGTTCTCCTTCGGTTTGGGTCAGCAGGAAACCTGAACATATTGACCTGAGAGGCCAGTAATAATCCCTTATTTATTTCTTTATTTCTGCTAGTTTTCTCATATAAGAGAAAATATGCAATATATTATGTCCTGCTGGCTATTTTGCTTAACGTGATAGTCTCCACTTCTATGTGAGTCAGCTTTCCTGTCACAGGTATAAGACACTTGTCATCCACAGCTGAGAGAAACAAAGGTTTAATCTGCTGTTTAATGGCTTCAGAGGTTTCACTCTGTGCTTAGCTGCCTCCAAAGCAAAAACATGCTTGAATGTAGAGCAAAGCTGCTCAATTCATGGCATCCAGGAAGGAGAGCACAGGTAAAGGGTGCCAGTAAGAGACATACCCACCAAAGCCATGGGCCAGTGACCTGCCTCCAGCTGGACCCCACCTCCTGACATTCATCTATGATAACCAATGGGTTAATCCAACGAGAACATAGCACCCTCATGACCTAATCCCCTCTCTACGAGTGTTTTAATCCAGTAAAGTTGAGAATTAAGGTCAAGAGTCACAAGTTCCATCCATTTTCTTGAAAATGACAAATTATTTATGGCTAATACCCCATTTTCTATATGTACCATGTTTTTTTTATTCATTTACCTGTAAACAGGAATCTAGGCTATTTCCACAGTTTAGATATTATGAATTGTACTGCTCTAAACATAAGTATACATATATCACTGTAATATACTGTCTTTAATTCCTTCAAAAATATAACCAGAAATATTATAGCTGGATCAAATGATGTTTCTGTTTCTGTTTTGATGAATATCCATACTGATTGCTATAAGTGGTTGTTCTAGTGTACACTCCCACCAACAATGTAGGACAATTATCTTTTCCTTGCATCCTAGCCAGCATTGAGAGAGAGAGAGAGAGAGAGAGAGAGAGAGAGAGAGGGAGAGAGAGAGAGGTTTTTTATTGGAATTTAACTGACAAAATGTTAAACTTTTTTTTCATGTACTTACTGCCCATTTGCACTTCATTGAGACCTCTGTTTTTGGCTCAGCTGTTCATTTTTTATTGGATTATTTGGTGGGAGTTAATTTTTTTGTTCATGTATTCTAGATATTATTCTGTCTAATAAGAACAGCTAACAAAGATTTACCTCCATTCTGTAGGTCGTCTCTTTAGTTTTTTTGGTTGTTTCCTTTGGTATGTGAAAACATTTTAATTTGATATAGTTCCATTTGTTGTTCTAGTCAATAGGTCTCTATTTGGGCCTATATCAAATTTCTCCTTTGTTATATTTCAATAATTAAAAAGTTTCTTTTTAATATCCTTGTTTATTGATCCATGGGCCATGATTCATTGATTCATTTTTTTTTACAGAGATACCTATCTCATTTCAACTCTCTGCATGTGAATATCATTTTCTCATCACCATTTGTGGAAGAGGCTGTCTTTTCTTCAACTTATGTTTTTGGGTCTTTTGTCAAGTATCAAATGACTAGATGTGCAAGAGTTTGTTTCTCAACTCTCCCTCCGTTTTTATTTAAAATGAAAAAAGAATAAAAAATGACACAAAATTTCAAATCAAAATAATAGGGGATAAACAATGGTTAACACTTTGCATACTGTTATCTGCAAAGTAATTGCTCAGATTACAAGACGTAGACATGAAAAAAAAAACAGTGAAACACAAACCATTCTTTTTTGATGAACTAACAGAGATTAGCATCTCTTGCATATGTATGCATATATAAACACACACACACACACACACACACACACACACACACACACGCATATAATCTTTTCCTTTCTCTCCTTTCTCCTTTCCCTGCATGTGTTTCTGTCTGTGTCTTCTGTTCTATGTGTCTGGTTTTGTACCATGTGGTTTTTATTATTATGGCTTTCTAGTATAATTTGATAACAAATATTGTAATGCCTCCAGCATTGCTCTTTTTATTCAGGATTATTCTGGATAGTCTGAGTTTTTGTGATTCCGTATGAATTTTAGAATATTTTTCTAGTTCTGTGAAGAATGATATTGATTTCCTAATGGGATTATATTAAACCTATAGATTGCTTTTGGTCATATGATCATTTCACAATGTTAATTCCTACTACTGACGAACAAAGGAAGTCTTTGCATTTTCTAGTGTTTTCATTTTCTTTCTCCAATATTCCACAGTTTTTATTGTAGAAGTGTTTTACCTATTTGGTCAGGTTGATTTCTAGGCATTCTTAAGCTATCATAAATGGATGTAAATGATTGTATTGATGTCTTCTGTTCTTTTATGACAATTAGCTTTTGTTTTTTTAATTGAATGTGCCAGCATTCTGTGCACATATGTTTAAAATTGTTATTTCATCTTAGCAAACTTTTCCATTTACCATTGTTCATTTTCATTTACCTGACTGTTCTCTTCTGACCAGTTTTGGTCTGAAATCACTTTGTCAGAAACTACAATAGCTACTCCAGTTTGCTTCTGATGTTCCACTGCTTGTAGTATTATTTTCCATTCTTTTGCTTTCAGTCTGTGTGTGTCTTTGTGGGTAAGGTATGTCTTTCACAGGTAACATATAGTTGAGTCTTTTTAAAAATCTAATCTACCAATCAGCATCTTTTGACTGGAGAGTTAAAATTACATTATGGAGTGTTATGACAGAAAGTTATGTACTCTTTTCTGACATGATAGTGCTTTTCCAATTCTTGGTATCTTTGCTCCTTTTATTTTTTTCCTCCAGTGAGTTTTATTCTTTCTCTTGACCTTTTGGATGTTTTCCTTTATTGTTTCAGATTCCCTTAAGTATTTTTCTGCAGTGCTAGTTTGGTGGTCATGAATTTCTTTAGTTTATCTTTATCATAGTGGGTCGTTATTTCTTTTACTTTTGATGACTAACTTTGCAGGATATAGTAATCTGTGATGACAATGATATTTAGGACTTGATAAGTTTTACTATAATCTCTCTTGTCTTTAAAGTTGTGTGAAGAAATTTGCTTTTATTCTAGTGTGTTTCCCTTATAGACTATTTGGTACTTTTCTCTAACAGTTTTTAGTATTATTCTTTGCTTTGAGATTCTGGCATGTTGACTATAATGTGTCATGAAAACTTTCTTTTCTGATTGTGTCTATTTGAGATAAATGTTTCCTTTACCTGCATATCCCTCTCATTGCCTAGATTTGGGAAATTTTCTGTAATAATATCAGTGAATAGT